TTGTTCTGTAAAAAAGTTGAAAAAATCTAATCGTTCTTGTATCTGTTATATATCGTAACGAATTTATTATTATTATTATTTATCATTATTATTATTATTACTATTATTATTACTATTATTATTATAACTATATTAATATTATATAAATACGGTGAGAGGAAGAAGAAAGGAAAGAAGGAAGGGTAGTAGGAGCTTCATTTTCTTCTTGCAAGTACAAGTTCTATTCTAAATACGTTAAACAGTATAAAATTAAGAACGATTTAAGTACGATCTTAATTAGATAATTTCTTATCTTTCTCCCTCTACGTTTTTTTTTTCTTCTTCATTATTACGGATTATTTTTTTTATTTTTTAATGCTGTGTATATTGAACTGGACGAATCGTTTACCATTTCCCATATTTCTTTTATTTATTTATTTTTCTCTTTGTAATGTATTTGAACATTTAAATTTTAGAGATGATTATATCTCTCTCTTTTTTTTCTCTTTTTTATTTTTTTTTAAATCTTTTTATCTTAACTCTTTCACTAAACTAAATTCGTTCTTATCTACACGTTTGAGCGTTCGTCACGATATACTCTATACATATATATATAGATGTATGCATAATATATGTAATAATTATACAGGCATTTATATTGAAAGCACTGTATATTATATCGTATATTTATATGCATGGGCCTTAAAGAGAGGACTATGAACTTCCTAAATTTTATTTATTTTTTTTCCTTATCTTTTAGTTTAGTTATTCTTCTCAACAAGGATTCGTCATTACTACAAGATAAAAGATAAATGAAGGAAAAAATATATATATATGTATGCATATGTATGTACGTATGCATGTTGAACGGCAGACACTTACGTAATATAAATTAGAATATACAAATCTTTTATGAAATTCAAATAATTATTTACGATTTTAATTCACACTTTTTATTTTTTATTTGCTCGTTTTTCAAAATAAAAATTGAAAGCATTGAACTAATAAAATATTGTAAAAAAAATGCAATAATCGTTAGATATACTTCGTCATGCTTTAAACTTTATTTTTTAATTAGTAGTTCTCTCTCACTCTCTCCTTCATATCTATTCTTGCTATTTATATTGTATGTTATGTATAAATATATACACTTTGATATATCATCTTTCGACGAATATTGTTATATCGAATTATATTATTATTATTATTATTATTATTATTATTATTATATACTACTACTATTACGAGAATCTCAATTTATGTTAATTTAATGTTTATTAATTATTAGATTATTTCTTATAGCTCTAAGAAAAACATTACTTAGAAGAAAGAAAGATAGAAAGAAAAGAAATTGAGAAATTTGGTATTTATGTATTGAGAGCCGTCTGAAGAGAATTATGTGCCTTTTGTTGCTATTATTTTAGTATCTTTTATTTAAATCGAATTCTTTTTTAATCCACTTCACAGGCAGCAGAAATGATTTTTCAGAATTGATATTTAAGTGACGTCCACTTCAAGCAGAATGTACGCATCCTTAGTAGAGAGAGATCGAGGACAAGGACATTTTTTGCATTTGTTTTCTTTCAAATTTTCCTGAATAATCTTTTCTTTTTTGTTTACTTTTTGAACGATTCGTGATTTTTTGTCTTGCAAATTTCTACAATATAAGCGCATTCGTCGACATTCAAAATTCAGTTCTCAGACCATGCACCTAGTTTCCTTTTTAAAATTAAAAGAACCTTAAATAATAATCTTCTGTCTAATCATTAATGGGATTATTTTGTAAAATTTTTATTATGTATACATATATATATATGTACAATTATAAAATTTATATTAATTTAGGATTCCCATTACTGATTCGAACTTTGAGTTAATGATGAAAACTACTGAACTATCAAAGTCTTTATAATAACAATTTTATAAGTATCCATTTAAATAAAAAGATCAATTTATTTTTAATCCTATTGAATGAATATATAATTACTTATATACATATCGATTAATTCAATAATTAATTAAAAAATAATATAATCCCATTAATGATGACATAAAAAAACAGTAAAATAAAGTACTACATATTATTATACAATATACATATATATATAT